ATACTGACAACAAAGCATTACAGGCAACATAATAACAATATAATGTACAATATGGAACATTTATATTTATCTTGATATTTACCGCATTTAACAGTGTTATTAAAGTATTAATGTTTTCAATGATTAACTTTTAAGAGAGCATTACTTGACAGTAAAGATAATCTGAATGTAAAAACTTATTAAAACAAGCATTAATAATCACAATTCACAAAATTCAATGTTAGCTGATTTATTAAGAGAAAAAAAAAATCTGCTGTTAAAGGGTATATGAATTGTACTGATATGTATTGTGCATCCTTAATTACGGTATGTCACAATATGTCACAAAAAAAACTCCACACAACATATATCAACACATTGTCACGGGTGCACTGCTGAGCGGACTGAGGAGCAAGGAACGAAGAGAGACGAGGAGTACATCAATCCAAATGGGTTTAATTAATACATAGGAACACTCACGCAATACATGTAGACATAGACATGAACATGACCTGAACAATACCGGACGCTGGAGCACACACAGGGAACACTATTTATACACACAGGAGGAGGGGATGACGAGACACACCTGGGAGCAATGAAACATCGAGGGAAACACCTGGGACAAATGAACTTAATCAGGACAGGAACAGGAAACTAACCAAATATGGGCATAGGAAGGCACATGGGGAGCAAGACACACACAAAACACGGAACAAAGTCTGACATAACGCCCCCCTCCGGAAGGCGTGTCCTCACGCCATATAACATCCAATGGGGAGGGGGGGTGGGCACTCTGGAGGTCCCTCAGGACAGACACGGGACAGTGGCCTCCAGAGCGGTACCCGTTCGGGGTGCCATGGCGGATCAGGAGCCTCGGGAGGCCATGGCGGATCCGGAGCATCGGGAGGCCATGGTGGAGCAGGTAGTTTCAGAGGCCATGGCGGATCAGGAGACTCGGAAGGCCAAGGTGGAGCAGGGGACTCGGGAGGCCATGGCGAAGCAGGTAGTTTAGGAGGCCATGGTGAAGCAGCCTCCGAGGCCGTGGCCCCAGCCCCCGCCTCTGCCTCTATGACTGGAGCCTTACTACCCCCCCCAAAAAAATACTTGGGGAAATTTACGGGGCTGTACTCGGGGCCTCATTAACGTCCTTTCGGCTTGCCACATTAACTGCCGACTGACTTGGGGAAGCCGCGGACGGCGGCGGGCTGGATCTGGCTCGCCACGTAACGATGGTAGTTGGCCCCGAGCCAGAACAGCTGATTGAGGACGGCATCTTCTAACGCTGTCACCCTGGCAAGCTTGCAGAACTCCCTGGCGTACTCATAGAAGGGGAGATCGAGGCGAGCTAGGGCGGAGAAGCGAGCGGCAATTTCCATAGCCGCGGGGGAGGGGGGGGAACTAGGAAACAAAAAAACTTTCAAAAACACGGGGAAGGGATGCCGCTTACTTTCAGTTTTGGTCCGGTATTCTGTCACGGGCATCAAGTCAGTATCTAGTTTCTTAATCTTTAAAATAGGTTTAAAAAAAATAAAAAACTCTTCACCCCCCACATTAAACTATACATACTTCAATACTGACCTCTGAGTTCAGAGCCCAAACTGCTAGTTATGTCCCAGACCAGCGCAGGCCCCAAAATAATCCAATCCAATTACCAACATGTCCATCATGTGTGGCCCCCGGGCAAGGTCATGACCTTTCCAAGATATTCAAAAATCCCTCTCATTGTGAAGACATCTTTATGGAAGCTGTCTAGACCTCATAACTGGGAATGATGTGAAAACAAGCCATCAAGATGTTTTCCTTGATTCAAATCCATAAAAACTATTAAAAGCTGATCATAAAATATAGTGGCAAGCCTCGGTCGCTTAACTGCACTGTCTATGAGAACTGCTGCTCAATAATTGCCATTTACGGTGACATGCGTGACTTCAGATAGAAAAAAATTTATTCCTACTATAGCAGACCACTACTCCCTAAGGAAGGATCTCAAGGTTCTTGCTATGCTTGCATGGGAAAGTCGACTCATTGCCAGAAGCTGCCAGTTTGCTCGAAGAACAAATCTAAGGACGAGAGACAAAGGAAGTCGCCCTCACATCAGCGCATGTGAATAAAGCAGATGTTTTGTAATGGGCCGAAATATTGCACTGTGATAATGGCTCCATGGTTTCTCTTCCTGAAGGCTTTGAGAAACGAGGGGTGTCTTTCTGCAGCCACGCACTGCAGAGACAATACAGCCATAAACTGAAAGGATCTAAATCACTTTCAATCACACCAGAGCAACTGATTCCCAACCAGCTCTTTTATGCTCTGCGTCAGCCCCACCCAGTTCACTAGCAACAATTACCACTTTGAAGATGTGCGCTGATGCAAAACACTAATCACCCAGATACCGACCACATAATGTTCATTTCCTACACACACCAGTGTAAACAAGGCTCAAGAGCCACTTGTGAATGGAAACTTGGGGTATTTCTTCATTTAAATGGACATCTGAAGTGCGATTTGGGAAAAATCATTGGCTGTGGAAGAAATATGATGAATTGTGAAAATATGTGCTGCTTTTATACATTAAAGTAAAGCTGGGTGATGTACAGTATAGAATATTTACATTATATTCAAAATTATTTTGTTGGTGATATAAAATGAACCAGCAGTGTGAATTTCACAGTGATTTTAATGCATTAATAATTTAATAATTAATCATTTTAATAATTTGGCCATTAAGTTTTTCGAAGACCAGGTCGCTTCTTTTTGAACAATATAATTCAATTAATATTTTCAAAATAATGATTTAAAAGTTTGTTAGAGTCATATTATATTTATATTTATTATTGCTTTAAATATGATATAAACATAGGTATTAATATATTCATTTGTCAAAAGGCTAAAAAATTATATATATAATAATTATACTGTATATTATATAATATTTTATATATATATATGTGTGTATATATATATATATATATATATATATATATATATACTGTATATAATATATACTGTGTGTGTACATATATATATATATATATATATATATATGCAGTAAATACACACATTTGAATATTAATATCATTAATATAAATACATAAATGAATATCATATATATCAATTTAAATAAACTAAGAAATTACATATATATATATATATATATATA